CTAGCATAGATGGGTGAGTGAGTACATGAACTCTTAAAAAAACGGCACCTTTCAATTTTTCTGCCACTTTTGTGATCCAATTCATGCAAAGCTATACTCGTTTGAGTCCTCTCGAAGAATTCGAACCCGAGCTCCCTTGCAGCAATGACAAAAGCAGCTTCATCCGGCGACTCAGCTTCATAAGTGACTTCACCAGTCTCTCGATCGAAATCCGGAATAGCCGTTTGACAAAGCGCCAACACTCTAAAGAACTTCTGAATAATCTCCGCATGAGGCTCGTAAACCCACCGACCATCCATAATCCGCTCGTCACTAAAATTGAAACTCTTTATCGTTTTCTTCTTAGGCGTTAAGCTTTCTATATCATCTTCATGCGCCTCGTTATTTTTTCGCTTAGCGAGTGCCTTTTCTACTTCGGTCATCCCACGGCCATAAGCTACTCCGCCAACCGTGCATTTAACGAAATCCATCGAGTTGCACGTGAGAGTGCCCGTTTTATCAGAAAGAATCGTGTCAACTTGCCCGAGCTCCTCGTTCAAATTTGAAGTCCTCGCACGAGCAGGTTTATCCCCTTCGTCGAAATACATATCCCTGTCTTGATTAATGAATATGCTCTGCAAGACTTTTACTAGCTCGATAGAGACATACAAGGATATAGGTATGAGATAGCCGTAAAGCATAAGCCCCGTTAAAAAATGGAAAAATGCGGCTAATGCAGATTTTTCGGGGTCGAAAAAAACAGTAGTCTCGTCAGGTCTGAGGTACCACCGCTTTAAAATCGTCCCATTTTTTTCTATGTCGTTTTTTGTACTGATGCCGAAAAAGAAAGACCCGATAAAAGAGACTAGCATTAGCATGCTAAATAAAACGTATATAATTTGATCCATTCTTTTCTCGATTTTGCTTCTCTTTGAAGGAGGATCAGTGGCATTTTGCATGACTTTAGTGTCGTGGCCGGTGAAAACAACTACTCCATAAGCATACTCAGTGTTTCGTAGTTTCGAATCTCTAAGGAGAAATTGTTGAAGAGAGAGAGGATATTGTTGACCTTCATAGTACAGAGTACCAACAAAGGTGTAAAGGTCTTCATTTGGGTCTTCACATTTAATTACGGCCTTGAATTTTCGGATGGAATTATCGTCGTTTAATGAGGATGTGACATCAAGAGCATGCCTTACTTTCAGATTAGTCTCTCCATCGAGATTCATGGTCTCGACATAGCATATTCCATCTTCGTAGCTTGAAGAAAGAAGGAGAAGATCTGCAGGAAAGTATTCGTCCTTGTGAACTTTGACGAGATCACCAACTCTTAAATTCTTCCATCTTGTGTATTGAAAATTCTGATATCTTGAACAGACTTTAACCTTCCGATTGTTGGCCTCTATGTCCTGAAAAGAATTAACAAAAAGGGAAACAAATGGACAAAAAAAAAATAGAATAAGCAAAATTAGATATGATCTTAAAGAAACAACAAAAAATGTACAATGGAAACCTTTTTCAACTTTTTATTGGATGATAGGAAGCTGCAATAAAACCTTATTTTTCCAATAATCAATAACAAAACTACATGTTTATACGACATAACAAAGTAAGAACATTGCAAATGTGAATATCTAATGAAAGACTTAAGCACAAAGTACAAGCCGAAGCTGAGGTTTAAACATCTAACTGAACTCCGTCAAGTAAAAGAGTTGCAAAACCTATACATAGAATGCTACTCTCGACGAGGCAAGTTCAATTTTTTCACAGATGTAATGATTCTGTTCAATTAAAATTAATTCCTGAAAAATAAAGACATGTATTATCTGAAGAGCTAAGAACATTGTGCATTATCCTCCAAACCAAGCAGCAAAGAATTAAGAAAAAAAAAAATAACCAAGAGTACTGAACTGAATCCTCTTCTGTGGGCTTTTTAAAAAGCTCAAATTTAATTCATAAGCTTCCTTGGGTAGATTTTCAAATAAAATCATTGAAATTTTTATTTCAGCTAGCTTATGAACTAATTTTACCACACACTTTTATTATATAAGCTAACTTTTTTCAACCATAAGCCATAAGCCATGAGCTATAAGCTCAAAATTCACTTATAAACTATGTCAGCTTGGTTTACCAAAAATAGCCTAACAACAAACATTTAAAACACACACCTGCTTCCGACGCCTCCAATCCTCGATCCCTTCCTTAGCCATTGTTGTCCCAATCACTAAGAGCAAAGGCGCAAGAATGCTTGAAGCCGCGTAAGGAGCTAACGGGCTAAACGAAACGCAAGCCACCACAAGAAAATATATATTCGCGACCCTTCTAAACTGCTCGAATAAAGACTTGGGAATAAAATTAACCGCCGTATATTTAGTGGTCGAAACATAGTTACTCCGGTACCTGAGCAAAAGCTGCTCCGAGCTGTCCGGTTCATTACAGTACACAACCCTAGAGTAACCCTTTTGCCCAATCTGACTATGTTCATCCCTAAAAGAAGACCTAAAACATGAAAACGAGTAGAGTCTACTGAACTGAATCCCCTTTGGCTGAGGACCGCCGCTCATTTTCTTCCCCCCTAATAAAAAAAAAAAAAGAAAAAATGCTTGAAATTGAATGGACGGCGAAAAAACCCACCGGCCCCAATAAATCAAGCACAGAACAATTAATCTGCATTAACTACATCATTCAGTGCATAAACTGACCCAGTAATGAGCTGTAACAAACTATTTGCCGAATGCGATGCGAAAAATGGGATAAAAGGCCAAAGCTTTAAAATTTCATATCCAAAAGGGAAAAGTGACGGAAAAACAAGAAAACACAAACGGTGTGAAGATGAAGAAAGAAAAACCCACAAAAAACACCCAGAAATTCTTTACTCTTGCAGCAAGTTCCCAAGATTTCTTTCTTCAGCCATTCTCGCGCTCGAGCGTACACACAACGTATATACGTTGCTGGGAGTGAGAGAAATGAGATAAAAAAAAAATGTGGCCCTTCCCCTTCTTGTGTTTTTTGCCTTTATTTGTCCTCGTTGAGTGTAGCAGAGGCTAGAGAGAGAAAAAAGGTGGGAGCTTGAGCTTGGGACTGGTTTTAGTTAGTTTAGCTACTTTTCGAATTGAAAATGGCTTTTGTATTTTGCTGTGGTAAGAGTATAATAAGTCAGTGTGTTTGGGAGTTTTAAATTAATTTAATGGTAACAGCTGCCATGGCCCATGGGGGACAATTGACATGGCTAATGAAGTTAAAAAGACTGGTCTTTTTCTGGGTTTTCGTTTTCTTCTTGCTGTTTAGATGTGCTTTTGACTGTTGAGCAAGGAATTTTCTGGACGTTTTATATACGTTTTTTTTTATTATTATTTTGTGTCAATATTAGAGTATTATTTGATCATTTTATTTTTTTCTGATTGAACTTTACAGAAAATAACTGAGTTATTATTAATGTTATTTTGGTTTTAGAGATTTGGTTTTACTTGTTAGTTAAACTGAACACTTTATAAACTGAATTATCTGCTTTTAAAAAGGGGAAAAAAAATTGAAACTGCAATAATTTCAATTATTTGTATACAATGTTGTATATAATTGTCTTTATTTCAACATTTTTTTTTGTGAGAGCCTGACCTTATTCTCAAAAAATATAATAGTTTTATATATTTTAATTTCTTAATTATATTATGTGTATGTAATAAAATTATGCATATATGTTAAATAAATATAAGTGAATTCTACTTACCAAAAGTTATACTATTTTATTTTGATGCCAGTAATTGTATTTAGTGGGTTGCTTAACTAAGAGCATGTACAATATTTTGGATCTAATTTTACTTACATGGCATGTGAATAGACTTAAGTGTTGAATGACATGAATAAAATAAAAAAAAAAAGTAATAAAATTAACTTCAATGCAAAGAGACTAGGTCTCTATTTGGATCTAAAATAGACTAAATGATAGACCGGGTCTCATTTTGTTGCTACATCAGCATGAACCAGTCCAATTATATTTGGAGTATATATTTTTCTAGAATGAATATATTTTCTACATAGCTTTTTTTTTTTTTTTTTTA